GATAATAAACCGTTTTATTGTAATTTGTCTTTTTAAATTATTAGATGATATTAAAATTTGGAAAAGGGGATCCCTAGATCGGTAAAATAGGCGAATTTCCTTCTACAACTTCGGTTGTTGTTCGGTATACAGTTAAAGTTTTAACAAAGTTCGAGCGAATACGTAATTAGCAAAAAAAAGTTGAAATAAAGTGATTAAACAAACATTATTACGAATATCGTAAATAACAGTTCACAAATGCATATATAGAAATATTTTTTGAAGGGGGAAATGGTCTTCACAATTTGAAATCGATCGGACACACTGTGCTCGAATGCTCGTGTAAACGCGCGCCATCTATCGTAGGATAAATATACTATGCCAAAAACCTTTGCAGGAGTGTATAAAAAACTTTCTGAAGTTTTATGGCAATCGTACTATGCCACAAACCTTCGCCGGAGTATATTAAACAACTTCCCAAAGTGTCACAGTAATCGGATAAACGGTGTGGTAATGCATGAAGGACAGACACACACACACACACACACACATTCATTTTTATATATATAGATATACTCCATTGACTGAAATGATGAATAAAGAACAATAATGAATGCCTCTGGTATCAATTTGATTAACAGAATTCACTAAATAAAGCTTCAGTCTGAAAAAACAGAGCTGATTCCTGTTATGTAGTAATGACAAGCCGCATTTTGCAATAGTTATCATGATAATTTTTGGCAAAGAACAAGACTAAGAGAGAAATCAAAAGAATAAAGAAATAAACAATTTCTTGTTTCTCAAAATCAAATCAATGTTAAAAACAACATTACAAAAGTTTAAATGCAATAATAAAAATGGAACTGGAGATAATGTGAAGAACTTCAAAATATCTCTAATAGAATCCTGCCATTTCCAACTACAAATGATGAAGCCACATGTTTAATGCAAGAAAATAGTTCAAATGACTCTGCTAGTTTATAAAATTCAGAATTCATTGTTCTTTTACTAGTTTTTCTTTAGAAAACATTTATTTATAGATATATATATTTTTTAATTAAAAATGCATAGATTACTTTTTTTTAAAACAAAAACTTTGAAAATTACCTACCTTGTCTTAGCAGAATCACTTTTTTTAAATAATTTGTTCATCAAATCATTTTTGTTGCCACTCGAACTACTACAGGAACTGTTACGTTTTGATAATGAAGGCCAAACATTCAGTCTTCTATAAAATTTTAAATAAAAAAATGACATTATTATTATTATTATGATTAAAATAAAAATTAGAAAAATTGAGAAATTAACCTTGAAAAAATTTTAAAGGTAGTTTTTACCAAAAAAAGTTTTTAACAGTAATTATTATAGCATTGCGACAATCAGTCCACTACAAAAAGAAATCATCATGGTATTTTTTTTACTAAAGAAAGAAAAAAAACTATTTTTACAGCTACTAAATAACTAGTTTGAAAATGTTTCATCTTAGCATTTAGCCATTTTCAGCACCACATACAATATTTAAAAAAATAATAATAATAAAATGTAATTCAAACTTCCACCAATACAAATCTTTACATAATTATATTATAAATTGAATAAAATTTAGATTCTATATTTTGAAATAAAAAGTTTCAAATATTTCTTTAAATTACAATATATATAGTATGTTGGTGAGTAATTGGGCTGCAATTTTTAAACTGCATACCTATAAATTCCTACTAGTTTGGTTCTGTGTCCATCCATCATTAATCTCAAGAATGGAATTAGCTAGATGAAAGTCATAACCAGATATGGAAAGCTTAGGGGCAGGAGGCCCCAATTAACTATATATGATCTTCTGGTTTTGACCAGAAGTCACATTATTTCACATCAAAAATTTTCTCCAGAACAGAGTTAGATAGATGACTATTGTTAACAGGAAAAGTTTGAAGTACAGAAGCAAGACACTACTACAATTGAGAGTACTGTACATACAGTAGATTGTGTACATACTCTCATTTTAATGGATCACTCGGGATGCCAAAAATCATCCATTGTTCCAAAAATCCATTATACTGCGAATGATAAATTTCCTGTCCTCCCAGGAAAATATCCATTATTCAAAAAATTTTCTGTTTTTTGAACCCCCTACATAAAGAAACACATGTATCTGAAATTATTAGTCTCTTGAGATTTCTATCCTTTACAGTATATAAACATGTATAATACAAGATCTTATGCGGTATGTGTGTATAACAAAGCCGATGGAAACTCTATATATTATAAGCTGAAAAGTTGCAATTGTCTGAGAAGTTACACCTTCCCATGCACGTACAGTGAATTGTATGGCTTGCAAGATATCTATCTTATATCTTGGGATACAATTTTTTTCCATTTTCAACAAAGCACATTAGATGACCAACTTTTGATAGTGTTATTTGAAATATTTTATTATTCCTTGGTCAAGAGGTTGAAGACAACTTGTACAGTTAGATGGGAAAAAACAAAGCTCCATGTTTTTAAGATGCTGCAAATCATTGGGATGCATGGGACAACAATCTAAAAACAGATCTACCTTCTGTTTTGTAAGCACATGTGTGCATCAAACAAGTGAAGAAACTCTTCAAACAGTTCACCTGTCATCCAAGATTTGTTATTATTTTGATACTTGTAAAGAAAGGCCTTGTAAAACATCTTGGATTTCTGTATTTTCCAAAAGCAAACAAGAGAGATTTCAAGAGCCATCTTCATTGACCATTAGCAGCAATGTTATTCACACCTTCCTATTTTACCCACAGAAACATTTTTGCCCTTAAAAGCTAATGTTTCGTTTTGCATCACGTTGTAAAAAAAGACCTGTCTCATCACCACTGAAGATGTTTTGTAGATCATGTCACTCCAAAACTTTTGGGAGCTGATCTCTTTTCCATGTTTCAATAGTTACCTTGTCTACATTCGTTTTCTCCATTTATAGTATTTGTACTGACCTTTCTCCATGACCTTTGTATATTGCATATAAAAATATCACAAAATAATTTTCTGCTTTAGTTTTTATTATAATTTATGACATTCTCATAAATATTTCTGTAAATTTTAAATTTCTGTAAAATTCCACTCTATTATAAGTGTGAGATTCTACAACAGTGTTTTTTCTGGCACCACTAAAGGTTGCCCCGTGAGGTCCAGGCTGTGCCTAATTGACCCCAGTGGATTTTTATATAGCCGTCTTTTGTCAAATTTAAGTGAGTATTCTCAGAAATTTCTAACACCAAGTAGGTTACACTTACTACAACATGAGTTTTGATCATTTTTCCTGAATGGCAGTAACATGCACTCATATGTGAGACTAGGGGTAAGAGGATGGAGTAGGAAAGTAAGAGATTCAGCTGGAATTGATTAACTCAACACAATTTACTACACTTAAACATTTATTAGACAACATAAAAGTTTGTACAATATGTTACTCAGTGTATTCATGCTTTATGGAGAGACAGACTGACAGATATTACAAATTTTTGGTATCTCACAAATCAGAACTAGAATATCCATTGAAGATCTTTGGAATGTAGTCCATTAGTTAGTAGTTTGAGAAAGAAGCAGCAAGTAGAAGGATGACAAGGAATCTGAGGACATAGAAGAGCACTAATCCAAAAGAGGCACACAAACACACTAATCTGAACAGTTGAAAAAACGAGCAACAATTGACTGAGATTGGCCATTCCAAAGCAGCAAATACCTTAGAGGTAACAAAGAGTCACAAGAAAGGTGTCACTAACAACTCTGAGAGAGCATAAGTTGACATTCTCAGGTCAGAATGTTGACATATACTAGATTCTGATGATGTCATCCTTGAATTGTTTTCCTTTTACTTGTTCAATTCTCATATAAGTTTAGTTTTATTATTACCCATATAAAATTTTTAAAATTATTTTCAATATCATATTTATGAAAGAATCCTTGATATTTGATCCTATAATCTGACACCTTTGTTTACTTCAATAAAAATAAAATCATCTGTTTCTCAGAAAAACTTTCACTGTCAGTAACTATTTTATACACATACACACTATAAATTAAGACTTCATTTTAAAATAGCAAATTAAGACAATTATTTCTTTGGTTTTCAAACTTTTATAAATTTCCAATGAACTGTTTTTACCTATTTTTTTACACTAAATAATTATTCTAGTCTTCACTTATTTAATATTTTCGACAGAATAATAATTCAGGTTCTCTTGTTTCAACCTTCAGATTAAGTAAAATTAATTTTTAAAATATAATTTTTTTTGTGTTTTTTTTTTGAAAATTAAAATGCAATCATTTTATATATGCATCTATAATATAACAAAATGCAATTTCACATTTCATCCATAATATTAATTATAACCATCAATGTAAGAAATCTAATGTACAGCCATTCCTCACTTAATTAATTAAACAAAACATGAAAACACACAATCACACCCCAGGTATTGATTTTTTTACTTTTTGGGTTCAGAGGGTCCATAAATATTGAGATTCCAAAAACTTGGTGGGTCAAAAGTGACTAGATTACAATATTATATTACAACAGCTAAGAAAATAACCTGTATTACATTATAACAGTCAAAAAAGTAAGAGACATTCAGATTAATATTTTAGTCATTAAACCCTTCAAATAGGATGTATGTTTGTTTGTTTTGTTTGTTTAGTTAAGTTACGGCAATGCAACACTTGAATGATCTGCCTAGGAGAAATGCCTTCCGATAGGATTTTTTAAGGGTAATTGGCCCCTTATTCAGGTATTATAGTGTCATAAGTCCAAGTGGTTATTAAACAGGTAGGTCATTCAGTGAGAAGTGACTGTATTCTAAATTAAATGCAACATTTAAATATTTCATCAAGTAATATTAATAAATTTTTGTTAATGATTAATATCAGTATTGAATTAAATACATTAAAAAATTATCACTTACTGCAATTTAATGTCACGAAGTGTTGCTTTTTGTTGGTCTGTCAACAAGTCTGCAAAATCGAGGACATCTAATATACTTCTTACTCTTTCAAAGTGGTGATGATGATGTTGCTAATTATTAAAAAATAATTTTAAACAAAATATTAATTATTTATATAAATAAAAATTATCTTAAAAATATTATAAAACTTACTTTAGGAATAACAAAAGTTTCCTCTGAACTGGAACTGCTAAGTAGTTTTGGCACTAAAAAGTACAAACAATTTTGAATTACTTCTAATTCCAGGACTTTTATTTTATTTTAAATCTTTATCAAAATAAATTAAAATAATTTTTTAAAATTTTATAAATGTCTTTAAAGTTCTTAAATAAAGAAATTAATTAATTATACAATAAATGTGAATTTAGAATACACAAGACTGGAAGCTTTCTCTGTTTAAGAAGATATATGCTAAAATTGCTATACAGTAATACTCCAAACTTATGCGATAGGTGGGACTGAGCAATAACCGCTTAAGTCGAATTCGCGTAAGTCGGGGTATAATTTCTCAATGTGTGTAAAATCCAAGTCAGATGTATGTAAGCTAATAAATGTTTTCGTTAATCTTATCTCGTCTTTTGATTTGTTCATTGTTACAAAAAATCACCACATAGAGTCTCTCGAGTCTCTGTAGATATAACAAACAAAGAGATAAATAACACAAAATAAATTGTAGCTATGTGTCGATTCCGCGCAAAACGTCCAAACATGTAAGTTGAACAATAGTGTGGAGGGAATGAGTAATCAAGAGTTGCGTGGTGCTCAAACAAACGACGAATCAACAAGATTTGAAAATCGCGTAACTCCGGGTTCGCGTAAGTCGAGGTATCACTGTATTTATATTGCTGACAGTATTTCAAATAATCAAAATATTGTAAAAAGGATTAAAACAAATTTTCTACTAATTTTAATTCTTTTACATTATTACATTACATTACCTGGCAACAAAGGTTTTTTAAAATAAGAATCTTCTTTATCTGTATGATACAGAGTTTAAAACATTATTATTTTATTATCTAGTATTATATTTTAAAATGAATACAGATAACAAATGTTGAAAATAGCATTAAACTATGCACAATCCAATATTTAGTGGCAGCAGCCACAATACATTAGCACGTCCTATCAATTACTTCAACTTCTGGAAGAAAATGCAAATAGAAGGCATCTTAATAATCATATTAGCTATTTAAGCATAATAACAGCAAGAAGATAAAGGAAAATAAAAGAAGAAAATCTGTTAATATTAACAAGAATCAATTAAATAATAAAAGGAGAGGAAAAATAGTACAAAAAGAAAGAAATATGTGAATATGAAGTTAATAAATGATTGCTTATACTTTAAGTCAGGGATGGACAATCTGTGGCCCACATTAATATTTTTTGCAACCCATGTTGCATAAAATACGTATAAATACAGTAGACCCCCTATAACATGGTAGATACATTATGTGTTTTATGAAATTCATGTTTTATGAGTCTTTAAATACACAAGCCAATCACAGCCCGGCACGTATGCAGTTTACGGACTACAGCTGTTTGAAAGGTTTTCTTCCATAAAATTAATCAATTCTAGACTAATTTGACTCAACATTTCCAAAACACATATAATTTTTTGGGAATAATCCATGCAGCAGTCTATGTTTTTTTGATGCCTGTGACTAAAGTTTGACCAGTTCAATTTTGTTAAACTTGCAAAATATCAAGTTGATATTTAGCAAAAATAAAGATTAATTACTTTGTGTCTGTTTTAAATTACAGTGATACCCCAAATTTATGCGATAGGTGGGACCAAGCGATAACCACGTAAGTCAAATTCGCGTAAGTCGGGATATAATTTCACAATTTATGTAAAATCCAAGTCAGATGTATGTAAGCTAATAAATGTTCTCGTTAATCTTATCTCGTCTTTTGATTCGTTCACGGTTACAAGAAATCACCACATAAGATTCTCTTGAGTCTCCGTAGATATAACAAACACAGAAATAAATAACACAAAATACAGTGGAACCCCGGTTAACGAACGTCCTGGTTAACGACCAAATCGGTTAACGAACTTTTATTCTGCAAAAATTTTGTCTCGGATAACGAACAAAATTCGGATAACGAACGTAACGGTATTTTGTGTCAAATTTTAGTTGGTGTTAGGCATGCGCGAGTTAAGTATTGCTTTTCCGAGTGTTTGTGCTATACAGTCATACCCTGGACTTACGCGATAGGTGGGACTGAGCGATAACCGCGTAAGTCGAATTCGCGTAAGTCGGAGTATAATTTTGCATATAAATACATACAAATTATTTTTAATTGGGACCGGAGACTAAAGAAAACAATAATTTAGAAAAAAATGTTTAATAAAATCTTAGATAATACATATTTATAACAAATTATATTATTATACAATTTTTCACATTAACTTGATTATCAAACCATAATTTTAACATTGTTTCCATCTCAGCGATAATACTGTGACGTTTACGAATGATGCTTGAATTTAAAGATTGAGCATTTTTCACAGCTTCGAGAATTTTTTCTTTGCCTTTTATAATTGTTCTGACCGACAATTCCGGTAGATCAAACTTCTTTGCCAATTCACAAATTTTCATTTTTGTATCGAAGTCTTTAATAATGTTAACTTTACATTCCAAAGATAAAGTTTTTCTTTTCTTGTTTGATGCAGAAGAATCAGTTCTACTTCGTTTGGATGACATAGTAGAGTGTTAAGATTAATCATATTCGTTATTGTAAACCGCGCTTAAGTTAGGCGCCATCTGTTCATTTCTTTTGTATGTCCGACGATCAAAAGACCGCTTGGGATCGAGTCTGTTTATAATTTGAAAGGTAATCTTGTCAGTTGTATATACAAAAGGTAAATTGTTTACAAAATGAGTCTTTGTTTATTATCTGATAAATGTATACTTTTTTCGTCAATTGTTCACGATTGCAGATGCCTTTTGTGTAAAATCCAAGTCGGATGTATGTAAGCTAATAAATGTTCTCGTTAATCTTATCTCGCCTTTTGGTTCGTTCACGGTTACAAGAAATCACCACATAGAGTCTCTCGAGTCTCCGTAGATATAAAAAACAAAAATAAATTACACAAAATAAATTGTAGCTATGCGTCGATTCCGCGCAACACGTCCGAACATGTAATCCGAACAATAGTGTGGGGAGAGTGAGTAATCAAGGGTTGCATGGCGCTCAAACAAAAGACGAATCGACGAGATTTGAAAATCGCGTAACTCGGGGTAGCGTAAGTCGGGGTATGACTGTACTTCTTTTCTCAGTTTTGTGATTTATATATTTAATCAATATGGCATCAAAGAAAGAAAAAAAATCATAGTGGCAATAGAAAACGACAACGCGCTATCGCATTTGAGAAAAATTTTGATTAAAAGAGTAAGACAATCAACTTTAGATCAATTTCTTGTTCCTTACGGTAAGAGTTTGTTTGTTTGTTAAGTTATGGCAAAGCAACACTTGGGCGATCTGCCTAGGGGAATGCCTTCTGGGAGGTGTTTTTAAGGGAAACTGGCCCCTATTTATGTGTTACAGACGCGGAGAAATCCCGGAAAACTCCACGTGGCCAGCCCGTCTGAGCGAAGTGCGAACCCACGAACGAACTCCCCGTGTTCAAGGTACGAAGATCACTTAGCTAGTGGTGGGTTTTTTTTACCGAAAGAGACTTCGACTCGAAGAAGCTTCCGATAAAGTGCTACCCGTTATTTTTTGGAGGGGATTCCCCTTCTAAGCATTAAGGTTCGTATATCTCCACTTTTCTGCCACCAACTACAACAAACAAAGGTATGTACAGTGCTATTTTATTAAACAAAGTTTACATGTTTGTTGCTGTAATGATAGATACTACGTTTTCCTACATTTTCATCAAAGAAAATTACTGTATATTACAAATAAAATCACAAAAATTTCGGAGATTAGAACGGATTAATTGCATTTGCATTAATTTCTATGGGAAAAATTGCTTCGGTTAACGAACAATTCAGTTAACGAACGGAGTCGCGGAACGGATTAAGTTCGTTAACCGGGGTTCCACTGTAAATTGTAGCTATGTGTCTATTCCACGTGACACGTCCGAACATGTAAGCCGAACAATAGTGCGAGGGGACTCAGTAATTGAGAGTCACGTGGCGCTCAAACAAGAGAGGAATCAACGAGATTTGAAAATCGCGTAACTCCGATTTGTGTAAGTCGGTGTAGCGTAAGTTGAGGTATTACTGTATGTAAAACATTCATGCAATGAATCAAAGCTACTTTTTTATAAAACCTATCTATTGGATGGCATGTTAATTGCAGCCTGGTCTAAGTTCAGTGGTGACTACTGATATTATATGTAATATAATATAATATAATATTTTTAAAAATGTAAAAATTAAAATTATCTCATTTGATATGGTTGTGCAAGGTTTAAAAAACTGCTTAAAAAACTTGGTGTTTAGGTATAGTAACAAACAAAAAAACTTATTACCAGCACTTCTGTCTTTTTTAAATTTCCATTATACACACTACACACATTAAGTCAATATTTCACTGTAATAGCTTTAATATTCTTATCAACAAGTGTATCTTTTTTTAAATTGTAAAAGAAAAACAATACAATTTTTGAAAAATTGGACAAACTAAACATCTTAAATACAAAATATCCCAATGACATCCATTAACCTAGTATTTATAAAACTTCTTTCCGGTAGATATATTTAATAAAAGAAAACTTTTGGCAGACTCCCTAGAGTAGAATTTAATTAAAAACATATATAAAATATTAATAAATGTTTCTTAAAATAATTGAGTTTATCATGTCTAGTAATTATTTCAATTTAATGAAAACTATTATACTCAAAAAACCTGTATACCGATGAGGTCTATAATAGTCCCAAAATTGGCAGAGTTGAGTATGACTGATATCAACACATTCGTAAGTAATATTAAAGGAATTAAATTTTATAATGGATATGTTGATTGTTTCATTATTTATAATACTGAAGAAATTAATTCTAGAAATTTATTAATTTTATATCAGTATAATAAAATACAAAAACATATAACTTTATTTGAATTATTGGAATGTAAACAAACTTGAAAAAAGTCATGTTATATAGAAATTTAATTGTAATTGTAATGATAAAATGATTTATATAGGAGAAACAAAAAGGTGTTTAAAAGTGCAAATAAAATAACATATTAATACTATAAAGTATAATACAGAATTCTTCAGTTGCAAAAATTGCAACTTGGATGTGAAATAGAAAGATTTAATAAAAGCCAAAAAATTTGAAACAAATAATAATAAGCAAAAATAATATGAACATATTAAAATTTTAAAGGTTAAAAATGAAAATAAAATTAATGATAATTTAGGCTTGAAAATAGACATTGGACGGTATGAATACATTTTTTTGTTTTTGTTTTGGTGGTATTATGAATTTGGCATTATCTTTTCTTACATTGGATTTATGAATGAGATTTTCATATTTTGGTGTAATATTTTACTTATAAATTACATAATCAACTGTAACATTTCCACTAGTTAGAGAATAAATGGTATGCCAAAAAGTCTTCTATTGTTAACTTCTTTACGGCTGACACAAGAACTATTTTCTGCTGATCATAATCACACATGTTGTAAAATACATATATTAGTCATCTTTGAGACTCAGCTCTCATGGAATACTTATTTACCATTTTATCCATACTGTGTGCACACCAAATTTTGTATTGTAGCATTCAGTATTGTAATATGTTTTCAGTAAGCTTTTTGACTTCATGTGTTTCAAATGTATAGATTCAGACTGCTCAAACTAAAATCTTCTTTTTATTATCTTCACATATAATGAGCATTGCCTATCTCTGTTTTCATTCTCTGTCAGTAACTGCTAGATAACAAGTCACAAGGCATTGTTATAGATAAAAGAAAATAGAAACAAACATCAATACATATCAATATCTGGACATACTTAAAATTTACAACATACATATCACAAGTGCAATAAACAAGTATGTCAACACATCAGCAACAAATGCTCAGCATAAAGTTAATAAAAATGAAATCATCAAATTAAATCCTAATGCTCTTCTATAATGGCTTATATTAGCATTCCTATATAATGTAAATAATTTTGCATGAACATGCATATCCATGAATGAAGAAAACAAAATTTCAATTTCATACAGGTATCAAACGTATAATACACATTACTTTTTAAATTACATAGTACATAATTTTATTGAAGGGTTATTGTACAATTGAAACTATTATATACGAAAACCCTTCAATAAAATTAAGTATTATGTAATTGTAAAACGTATATTATATTTTATATATAAAAAAGGGATTAAAGGCTAATTGATATATGAAAAGTATCACGTAGTCACAGAACAGTCAGACTGACTGTTTTGTCTGTTCTAGTATTTAATAAGTATATTTCTTCTTTTATCAAAAAATAAATTATTCAAATTAAATTTCTAAATAAGCTGAAAAAATTAAAATCCAAACCTGTTTTTGGAGTCTGTTTTTGTTTCAGCTGTCTTCTTTCTTCAAGTCTCCTGTCTCTTCCAGGACAAGCACAGATTCGAATATTTAATTTTCTTTGACCCAAGCAGTGATTACTATAAAAAAAAACTTTTAGTCTTAATTTTTGAATTGTATTTTTATATTTGAATTTGTTAATTTTCATTATTAAAACACTGCTTTCTTACTCTATACAAACTTTTAAATAGGATTTAAACATAGCATATTTCTAAATATTTTTAATCTTAATAGATTTTGCTGATCATCAGAGCTTGAGTTTTTAAAATTTTTGTTGGAAAATCATGTTTCTTTAATAGCTCCACACAGCCAACCATATGTTCCAAAGAATGTAAATAATTGGCTGCATGAAACTTTAAAGATCATTAAAAATTAAAATTCTGACAAAACTTTGAAAGTCTTTTGCTCAAAATGGTCAAGAATCAAAAATATTAAAATTTTAGTGAAAAATTATTAAAAACACCAAGTTAAAATTATAAATCTTAAGTTAATTTATTATAAAATACATACTCTTTTTCCAGTGTAAAAATAATTTGTAGAGCTCTTCGATTCAAACCTCCAACACAACTTCCAAGGCACATAAATCTATATATATACAAAGAATAGTCCATCCCGACTGCAACAGAATATTTGAAATGTTTATAATGATAATATTATAGGTCTACATAATGATATAATTTTAATTTATGATTATTTACTTTATATATTACAAAATCTAAGAATCAACATAAATAAAGCTTTGCTAACCTTCAACATAATAAAATTAAATATAATTTCGGATAATTATGTTATATAAATATTTTTAATATTTATAAATGAATACTATTGAATAATAATAAATGAAAATGTTATTAATATATAATAAAACAAAAATTCAATAATTTAAAATTTTAATTTATGTATATTAAATTTTTAACAATGAACTAATAATTCATTGATATTTTTTTTCCTATTTTGCATAAATTGTGTGATCGAATACATTTATGAGATATAAATGAAAAACTGGGAATATAAAACGTATTAATAAATAAAATTAATAATAAAATTCTATATTATATTGGAACAATAGAAAAACTGTTAAGAAAAGAATTTTAAACAAAAAATCCAAAGAAAATAAATACAACTTTAGCTAATTTAATAACTATAGATGAAAATTTTGAGTTTAAATTATACTCCACTTTGCAATTATAAACATTTTTTTATAACAAAGATTTATATATTTAAATTAAACAAATAAATCTTTTAATATACAAATATTATAGCTATCTGAAATTTGGAATTATATGATAAAATATAGACATTCTTCTACAGCAAATTATTTATGTATTATATTGCAAATAATTACATTTTTATTAACTATTTATATATAAATTTGAACAAATTTAAATTTCTATTTTGTATTTAATTAAAAATATATATAATTTAAAATAATTTAATAATTTTTACTTCATATGTAAATTTTAAATACTTTGAAATATGTTTACCATTCTACGAGAGTAATTTTAAAAGTTTGTGGCTTGACTTATAAATAGCAGTTGTATGCAAAATATTTCTGTCCTATTTTATGGTCATATCTGTTTAATGAATAAGATGAAATATCAAGTTGAAGTGTCAAATAGCTTTTTGTAAACTGACATTGAAACAAAGCTATCTCAGTATACTGTTCAAAATAGATTTAAATTGAATACTGCAGTGATAAAGTTTTTGTTTAAAAAGGTTTAATTGACAAAAGTTTTTAATGAGATGAAAAATGTGTTGGCTGACATGCACATTCATTTACAATTGTAAAAAAGAAGCTAAAGAATTTAGCCATGGGCATACAAGCTTCAAAGATTTCCCTTGTAGTGATATCCAAGAAGTGTGACAACACAAGAAATCATTCAAAGTGCATGATATTGTTTCAGAGGACCATTGATTAAGTGTCCAAAATTGCTAAGAAGGCATCTCACATCCTAATAATGAATTAAGTATGAAAAAGCTGTCTGCAAGATGAGTGCTGCACTTGCTAACAATTGATCAAAAACACACTCAAATGCAATTTCTCAAGACTGTTTTGTGTTTTAAAAAGAAAATGGCTAATTTGATTCTTCAATTTGTGACCACTAATAAAACTTAGGCCACTAGCAAATACCAAAGAAAAAATATCAGTTGAAACAGTGGAGGTATAGTGATTCATTCCCCACATAAAAAAACCCAGTCAGTTTTGTCTGAAGGTAACTTTGATTTTTTGAGATGCTGATACTGATTATTTTCCAAAATGGCCAAATGATAAAAGAGTACTCTGTTAAATCAACTAAATAAAAAAAAGTTTGTGAGAAGAGACTGGGTTTATCAAACAAACGAAAAAAGTCATTTTTCATCAGGATGATCCATGTGTGCTAATACAAGTGTTGTTTCTATGGCAAAAATTGCAGAACTAAAGTATAACTTTTACCCTATTCACCTTATTTAACTGATTTTGTTCCATCTTTCATTTATTCAACTTTAATTCCTTGATGGAAAGGTATTTTCATCAAATGATGAGATGTAAAATGGCAGTAAATGGTTATTTTGATGATCTTAAAAGAACTGGACTTCAAGACGGAATAAAGGCACCAGACTATCACTGCAGTACACTGAAGTTCAGAGACATTATATTGAAAAATAACAGTACATACAAAACAAAAATACTTTTTCATTATCAGGTTATAAAGTTGTGAGCCTGCAGATTTTTAGGGGAATTTTATAATTAAAGTTAATCATAATATTTGGAAATGTAAACATCCCCTTAGAAAAAATTGAGAATCATATCACGAATCACCGGTCATATCAACACATCAGTGGGAAAGTTGACACTTAGTTGTCAAGAATGCACAGTCATCATCAACAACAGATGATCACATGACCCCTTTCCCACGACAATTATATAATAGCAAGAGCTATCAGAAACGTGAGAGTTTGCACTAAGTTAAATTTGGTAATAGTGCCTTTCTGTCGCCCAACAGTAAACGGACTCGATCCTGTCCCGGTAGAAGACATTGTCTTCCAACACTTCCATATAGAACTGTGTATTGCCACATATAGTTCTTCACCCACATTAGAGGTAAATATAAGCAGACTGCAAACTCTCTCAACAGAATTAGGCATAGCTATCATAGCTCTGTCGGAATTATTAGACTTTTTAACCTCATTTAACTGCATTTCGCCGTAGGTAACTTGTATCTAACTATCTGTAGCCTGTTGTATCTTTTAGTTAATCACATAATAAATGCTTTATTATTTTGTTGAACCTGTCAATGTGTCTTTCTTGGCACAAGGACACCTATCGACTTACCAATGCACTCCCCACTCAACAATATGCCCTCCTATCAAGTTTTAGCCATCCAACGACACAGAGGTCTGGTTTCAACAACTTGTGCCAATTAAGTGGCAGTTAGGGAACAGCCCTGTTCCCCCAACTTATCTCACAAAGTTTTCAAATCATCCACATAATATTTAATTATTCCAGTAGTAATAAAATGTACAAACATGATTTGACTAATTTGATGAGTAAATACTTTAATTTTTAAATTATTTAAATTTCAAATTTTAACAAATTATTTCTTAATGTTATTTTAACATGTTCAAATTATAATTATTTCTTAATATTTGCTATATTTAAGGTATCTACATAAATTATATTTTGTTTTATTTTCATCAAAAATCAAACTTATATATTATAGAATAAATTTTAAATAATAAAAGTTAATATATCTAAATAATCAATCAATCATTAATAATACTCAATAATCTTATTTGTTCAATATATTGAATAATTATAAACATCTTATTACCTTTAGGACTTTCATAAGGAACTATAACACTTAGTCTTTTAGAAAATGGACATTCCACATATTGTGCAGAACTATTATCACAGCGAATTAAGTGCTCTGGTGCAGGATGACCTAAAATATAAAAATTAAATTCCTTTAAAATTAAATGTTAAAATGAGCATTAATAAAAAATTTGTTATTATTTTTGACAGACATCTTTTGTTTTAATAAAAACAGTTTGATACTATAAACTGCAAAAATAAATTTTATGTTAATCTAATGTAGAAGTGAAAATGTTTAACTTAAGTTTACATTAGAGATGAATTTAAGTTAAAACTAACTGATAAAAAAAATTCCAAGTTAAAAATTGACCTAAATTTAGTTTTATATACCAGTTTACCATATTTTTGATTATTATTTAAATATTTATTTGAATTTTTTAATACATTATATTTATATGTACAGAGTTTGTCCAATAAGTATTGGGACTGAAGTCACAAAAATAAATTTATTGAAGATATAAGTACAATGAGTTAATAATTTTCAAAATGTGTTCCTCCTGCATCAATACACCACTGTCAGTACTTTTTCCAGTCTTTATGCACCCCCTAGAAGTCAGGAACCACAAGACTATTCAGGCAGCCTGTCAAAGCCATTTGGACTGCCTCAATTGTTCTGAAATGATGTCCTTTCAGGTTCTTTTTGATCCAAGAGAACAAAAAAGTCAGGGGACACACATCTGGACTATAGGGTGGTTGGGGCAACGTTGACACATCATGCTTGGCCAGTGCTTCTCTCACAATTAGTGACGTGTGACTGGGTGCATCGTCATGATGGAGGATCCAAGTATCGGCGATCGCCCTTCAGATGCAGTGGATCCTAATCCCAAATGTTCAAGCATTTCTGTGCAAAATTTACCATTCATTGTTTGTCCAGCAGGGAAAAACTCCTTATGGACCACACCTTCTGTGTAAAAAAAACAGCCAATGAGAATAGATTTCACTCTTGATTTGTTGGACAACCAGTACATTGTTTGTCTTCGACATCTTCCTGGCCATCTTTGAATTTTTTACACCACTCAAAAACACATGATATGAACATGGCTTTGTTCTTTTAAGCCTCACAAATGATATCAAAAGTCTCTGTAATGGATTTGTTCAATCTAACGTATAATTTGATGGCAAAATGCTGCTCAATGGTTCGCTGAATCTTGACTCTCAACAAACACTAAACACACTTTCACTTTGGGCACGATCTACACACTCCAAATGCTCAGAGACAACTGAGTTGGATCTTGTAGCTTAAGTGACATCACCCACCATCAATTCCACCTGTAGAGATCACCCTCCACCCTTTCCTATTGGCAGGAAAAAATCAGTCCCAATAATTATAGGGACCAGAAATATTTTCTTTTTCTTGTTATAATCATTACTCATTATAACTGAGAAAATGTATGGAAATATGCACAAACTAACACTAAAATTGTTATGGCACTTTCCTCATTATAACCATGAACTTGTTATATCAGTGTGTGTTATAAATGAGTTCATAAATAATATATATATAGACACACACAGTCAAACTTTTATTTTATTATTTCATGTAATACACCTTAGTTTTTAGAATAGTAGATTGCTGGGCCACTGGTTAATTGAGACAGCCACTTATTTGAGACTGAATCAAAATATAGTGTGTGTCTATTTGCATTACAATTATATCAATTATCAAATGGTTGTGCTGTAGATTGGGTTTAAAATAGAAACTAGGCAGAGATAGAAAAAGTGATTTTGATTATTAAACAAATGCAATAGAATGTGATTCGGCAGGATGCTAGAGATCACATTAAAGCAAAACAACTATCATTTGGCTAAACAACTATCTATTGGGCTATTTTTTGCTACTATTAGTAATTAAATTTTAAGTAATTTGGCATTATACCATATTTTTGCAAAATGACCACCATGCCATTCCATCTGGAGGAGACTATAAATCAGATATTTCTGCATGGTAAAAGCCAGCATGCCAGTTTATCCCAGAGGAATGCCAGCTTAAATGAGGTTATACAGTAATGCCTTGAGATACAAGCGTACTGACAGAAGATTTTTGAGATAAAAGCAAGTTTCAATTAAGCATCCGCTAGTTGGCCTATGACTTGTCTGCACTTCGTAGTTTAGTGTAACATACATTCTTTCTAGTTCCAGAAATATCCTAATGGTATGGATGCTACACAAACAAAAGTACAGGGTCAGTCAGTAGTTTGCTCCTGAACTTGATATGGGAATCAATGCAAAACAATTACGTTCATTGAAGAACAGGCAAATTTTTAAATGCCAAAAACTTGGAATTTACAGGCCTGATCATCAAGACAAAAAAAAAAATTTTATTCACTCTTCAACTACTTACTTTTGGTAGAACCGAAAATAAAACTGTACAAAACCAGACTCTAAGGCATGAATAACAATGTTCCAATTATCTCCACCCCTCGTGAAGTCAAAGACTGCTAGGTTTAACAAGGCAGTCCTTTGCTCCAATTCGTACCTATTTGTCAACAGGAAGATCAGTTGTCCAGTACATTTGTAACCCACAGGACACTGTCATTCCTTGTCAGCTGCAGCTGCAGCTCCACCTCTTTAAGGCCCACTTCATCAGGACTTTTATTCCTCCTGAGGTGACATCACGCCATACTGTACCTCTTACTCATTCACTTGCGCATTTTCATTTACATTTTTGGTTATTTTCTCATGGAATCTTTTTCTTATAGAGTTCTAACAAAATAAAGTATATAATTTAAGTTCATTATACAGTAGAACCTCGAAAACTCGGCCTAATGTGGACCGAAGGGTGGCCGAGTTTGTGAAAATGCCGGGTTATCGGGAATGGGGTTAAAAAAAATAAGTACGAGTGTTTCCTCAGAAAATACTGTAATGTACTTGTATGTATTGTTTATTTGAGAATATAACAGAGAATAAACTGCCAAAATACCCTTAAACAAAGGAAAAGTAGTATGTCCTTTATGAAGGCATAGAGCCTTTACTACATGAAAATGAAAATAAATGAATACACTGTGTACAGTAATTTACCTGATAAGACAGACCTCAGAAAAATACTTGAGGAGTTTT